ATGACGCTCTGATCCATTTTTCATTCGCTGATACCTGAAGATATCAGGGGGTGGGATGGGGTGGGATGGGGAGGGACACCAGTTAGAGCCTGTAGTGACTGTAACAACAGAAGGTCAAAATCAAAGTATCTTAATCGTAATAACAGAAATTTCTAACTGGGCAAAAGTTGAACTCTGCTGCTTTTAAGCAGAAATCTAAGAACAAGTCATCTCCCTACACAATTATGTCCACAACAAAACAACCGCACAGGACCAATGTAAGGCTGTATATGTTTATTTATCGTCAGTAATTTTTTAAATTTTTTTTAACACAAGGCAAATATTAATAGCTGAAAGGCAACATTTTCGCAGAGTATGTACAGAGCAATGTACAACTGAATGCAAGAAGGCTTTAACCCATTAGTAATTTAACCATTTTATAAAAGGAAGTGATACTTTTTTCCTTTAAGACCCCCTTCAGAAATAATTTATTGCTAATCTTGAACTAAAGCAAGGAGAGGTAAATTTACAATATAGAGGCTCTTAGTCCCTGGAAAGTTATAAAAGTTAAACATATAAAAATTATAAGCCACAAACATTTATACAAAGCTAAATAAATCTTGGTTTTGTTAGATAAACGATCTATGAGGTTGTTACAAAATAAATTTTTACAGAAGGCTTCACATAAGGTAAGCTCTCACTGCTACTGAAAGGGCAGGAAAGCAATTTTAAATAGTTTGCAATTCAATTTTGTTTTCAAGTAAAAGGAAAAGAAATTACAAATGGCACTATTGCAATACGGTGATTTTTTTTTTTTTTTTTTTTAAGTCACGGTACCATCAAATAAAGAAAGCCCTGTGAAGTTAGGTTGTGAACGAATTTAGTGTGGCATAAAATATCCTGATCGTTCTGAAACCAGAAACGTGCTGCTGGAAAGTGTATTTCTGCAATGACCCCTTTAAAGAGAAATGTCTAAGGAATTCTTAAGCAGGCAACCACCTGGCAAAATATATGGGTGTCCAACCATCAGTTTTTGCAATAACTTAGAAACCTTGGGCTGCATTGTGCTATAGAGCCGTGTTCAGATATATTGAATTTTTACTACACAAATGAATGGCAAGATAGAGAAGTCCCATTAGTTCCAGAGCTTTTGGTAAAGTTATCTGGGAGTTCACTATACTCTGTATTACAAAACTCTAAAGAGCCCAAAGTATTTTAGTAATTTGGTTGAAGAATCCTGATTAGATTTAAAAAGAGTTTACCAAGCACCTATTAGCCAAAGGCCTAAGCCCACTAGCTGACACCTGCAGAAGCGATGAGAGGAAGGCTCATCTGTAAGAGCTGGCGTTTTCAGTGAATGTTGTTAGTGATGGCTTTGGCTCCCATATACTCCAGATGGAAAAGGTGGATTGTTTCCAGCACTGGTGAATAGCCACAGTCTTCAAACAATTAGATTTAAAAAAAAAAATGCAGCAGGGAGCAAATGCTAAAATGCCGCATTCACCTTCAAGTACAGGAGGACTGTACAAGCTAGTGGTATTTCTCACTCACATCTCAATGTGGTCAATGATCATTCAGTGCAGCAGAAACTAGCCAATGATCTTTGGAAGTTAGCCCTAGTAAAAAGTAAACTTGAAGAAGCCTCTGGAGTTTTCCTGTATCCCCACTTTTTAGAAATTAAGTCCTGACCTCGTACCATAACTTACTGGCTTACGTTAACAGTCTTCACTTTCATTACTTGATACAGAGCAATCCATCTGCTTTTACTTCAGCACATGCATGGACAGCCTGTTCAACAAAGTTAAAATACTAGATTTTGCACCAAAATTATATTCTGCCACAAAGCAACATTTAGTAGCAAGTCTCCAAAGAAATACACACAGCACAAGATGTGCTGCTTCTCAGCTAGTTGGCAAGTACAAAGGAGATGGAAAAAAACAGTGCTGATTCAATTTGTTTTAAGGCAATGTCTAACAGGAATTGCATACACAGTGCTTCAAGATTAGTTTTCGAAAAACAGAAGTGGAGGGAAAAAATGCCAAGTGCCAAAACTTCATATAATTCTGTATGAACATAGCTACTTTAGCCTGAGACCCCTTAGTGCTTACAGTGCGAGTCCTACTCTGTAGAAAACAAGTGATTTGGGGTCTCTAATTTAAGACAAATCTGCTGGAGTGATGTAGCCATGCTGGTCCAGGAAACAGAGGAGAGGCAAGAGAAGGGCACTTTGTGCCTGAAAGCTTTTCCAACATCTCTCCCAAGTATATAGCAGGTTCAATAAAGGCCATCACAAAAACTAAAACATAAAAACACCTTGCTGCTTGCCATGAAATAGTCCAGTACTCAGAGAGATGGGCCAGGTCTGTTGAGCTGGGCACCTCAAATTAAAAAAAAACAAACAAAACACTAAATACTTCTGAAAGATTAGGGACTTCCTTTAGCGTGAAATAGAAAACTAAAATCATCAGTGATTGCCGATGCTCCATACTTCTCTTCAGCAACACCAAGGCACAAGATTGAAGATGCATCACTTGCTGAATTTCCTACCCTGTCTGAACTAAGGTTGTAACAAGCCCCTGCAGAGTCCAACAAGCGGTTGGAACTTTTTATTAATAATAAAAGATGTTTTGGAAAGAGCAGGCATAACACTTGCCAAAAAATATTACCTAACAATGTATTTGCACAAAGTCCCACATTTTAGAAAACATTCTGAAAAGGCTTATTAACTGAGATTACCAGGGCTTCTTGATAATATAAAGACCAAGGATTTAATTCAGAACTTTATATTCTACCGTAGTCACCTGGGAATTGTGGGTCCTCAAAACTTCAGAGACAGGGCCCTGTTCCTGTATCGGCATCAATGTTGGTAACATCCAACACAGACAGGTCCTGTGATGTGAAATGCCTTTCCCCTTTAAGTGAATTTGGGCTAACAACTATTTTGGCATGAGACCCAACAACCATCATGATCAACTGTTCCAGTGAGGCATGGGATGGGCTACCCTTTGGGTGGGCCACAAAATTAGCCCCACACCCTCCCCAAGTGCCACTCTAATCCTTTTTCCCTTGCCTGCTCTGCTTTCTGCTTCCTGCCCTATGCTCCCTGCCTGCTCTGCTTTCTGCTCCATACCCTGACCTGCTTATCTTCTCACCTCCTGCTATGTGGCACCTGCAGAGACTGCCTGTGCCACTTGTGGCATGTGTGCTGCAGGTTGGCCACCTCTGATCTAGCCTAATCTGTGTGACAAAGGCCACAGGGACCTTCTTTGAATAATTCTTTGGATGCCTCCCTCACTGCTAAAAATTCACGTGCAAGTTTGTTTAACTTCAGTGTCCTATCATTGGGCCTTACAGTACTAAAGTCCATAATTCAGACTTCATTGCCCCTGCAGATACTTACAGCATCATCAAGCAACCCCTTAATCCTTCGGGAATGAAAGACAAAACTCCTGTGTCCTCAGTAACAAATGTCACCTATATCATGCTGAATCAAATGGTAGGGAAAGAAAAGTTACAAGATAAATTTAGTGCAGTAATACTTCTGTACAAACTGTTGGGGCAAAAGGATACCTTAGGTTTCGAGTATCAAAAAACCAAAAAGTTATACAACAAATCAATCTAGAAACCATCGTGAAGCATTTTAATATGGGTCACCTCGACATGCTTGACTACGGAAGGGGCTGGAGAAAATTGGTAAAATACGGAAAAACTAGTCTTCTCATAGAAGCAGATGAAAAGGCTGTGTGTATGCTCATGGATCAAAAAAATAAGCAACTAAAGAAACTGAGTACTGGCATCAAGACAGTTGCTCCGCTGGTGGCTGCAAGGGCTTGTTCACATAACCTACCAGGCTCAACCCTCTACCATGCCCGAGCCTAAAAATAAAAGTGATGGCTCCTCTAGGAGGGCCATCAAGGAGGGAATTGTTTGGGGCCCTTTAATTCTGTAACCAATGTGGAAAAAAAAGATGTTGAGTGGATAACCTATGTGACTTAAGAAAGCATGGGGGGCCAGGCCACTTAAGTGGACAGTAGATAACCTGTGATCTAAGGAAGCAGGGAGCTTCAGCAGATTAGATGTCAAAGTGGGCAGAGGGCACCCTATAAACAGTGCCACCATACCATAAACATGCCAACAAACATCACGGGAGGGGCAAAATACATGCCAGTGTCAAGGCAACCTGGGGGAAAAGAGGGGTAGATCACCCAAAAGAGAGCAAGCAGAAGATGAAGACTGTGGACACCTGCTCCTCCTGCCAAGAGCGACTGCAGACCCCAGAGACTCCCGAATGCCTGGCCAGCTGCAGGGAGGCACTGTGTCCTCAGGACACGCAAAGTTTCTGTTCTGTCTCAACTTTCCTGCAAGCTTCCTGTTGTTTCTTTATCTTATGCTTAAAATTGTAAATTATTATACTCAATAAATGCTCTCTTCAGAGAACAGTCTATTCTTGGTCAAGCCATTTTCAAGACTTCAGTGCCACCACCTAAGTTCTAATATGAAGTTTATGTAACAACAGGGATCTTAATAATTTTCTGGATTCCCCCCCTCACTGCTAGAAGTTCACATACAAGTTGGTTTAGCTTCAGTGCCCTAATCAATGGATTTTGCTGTACTGAAGAGTCCACAGTTGACACTTCGGTGACCTTGTAGATACTTACAGCGGGTGCAGACAACGTTTTCTGGCAGTGTGACAAACACCTGCAACCTCAACTTGTAAGATGTTGGTGTGCCAGGGGCGGGCGACATGGGAACCACGAGGGGGTCCGATTCGTGTTGTGGCAGCACAGACCTTCCCTGCTGTCTGCCCAGAGACACACATGCCAAGCAAAATGCCTTTGCATGCCCCACACTGGCATCCTCACCGGGGGTTTCCTATCCCTGACTCAGAGCATCAAGCAAAGCTCCTTGACCCTTTTCTTAGGGAATGATGGTGTCTCCTATCAAGATGTAGTTTTCCAGCCCTTGAATCACTCTCATGGCTCTTCTCTGAACCCTCTCCACGTTTATCAGTGTCCTTTATGAGTTGTTGATACCCGACCTGGATCCGACACTCCATAAGCAGCCACATCAGGACCCAATACAGGCAAAACAATCTCCCAACTTCAGATTCCTCTATCCGCATACCCAAGGATTACCATTAGCCCTCATGTCCACCCAAGGAGTAAACATTGAGCAGCTTATCCACCAGAACCTCCCATGCCCTCTTCAGATTCACTGCTTCCTAGAAAAAGTGCTCCGTCTACGTATGGAGCACATTACTGTTCTTATATTTATGACTTTTCTTTTGAACACGTTAAAATTCACCAACTGATTTCAAAGCACTCTTACCCAAGCTGGGCAAGCACCAATCCCACTTTGCTGCAGAGACCAAGGTACACAGGTGTTTTTATGACTTCTCACAGAAAGTCAGAGGCAGTGTTGAGAACAGAGTCCACATTTCCCAACTCCTAACAACGTAACACAATCATGTGGACAGTTTTATGGGATCAGACCAGTATGCCAAACCACTTGCCACACATGAAGCACAGCAGGGCTGAAACCCATCTTAAAAAAATGCTTTGGCCACTCTTTCCCTCCACAAGAATTAGTCAATTTAATAAGGCAAGTAGCAAGCAAAACACTGGTTAAAATAAAAGCACTGTGAATGGAGTAAGTGCAGTGGTGGTACTGAGGGCTTTTTTTTCTTTTTAAAAGCACAAATTAGCCAAGTTTAATTCTGTTTGGTAACAAACCCTGGGAGGCACAGCTTCAGCTGAAAGCACCTGTCCCACAGCCACAATAAAGGCCTGTGAAAGTATATGACATGGGACTTTTGGCAGAATATAACTGGTGACAAATGGCATCTTACAGCACTGTGTAATATGTTTGGCTCAAGCGCGCACAGAATTTGTAGACACGGCTGACAGATTTCTCGGATGTTTTCATGCACGAGCATTTACTACTGTGACGCATTATGCTTATTCTTCTGTGCAGACATTCATCACAGTGGTGTTTGGGTTACTTACCCTTATCTACACACAGCTACTGTCTGGGGCATGTATTCATATAAGGCCACTGAAAATACTGCAAGAGCACAGAATAGGGGAGGCACTTAAATTGAAAATAGTTCTGTGCATCCGACTACTGATGTAGCACAAGGCAGGCTGCGAGACCAAAGGGGAAAGATACAAAAGCACACTTCGAATTGACAAACCCTGGGGCTAGGTACTTAGGTGTAACATCTGGCAATGTGAAAATGAATATGAATTTTTAGCTCGTTTCCGCTTCCCACCTGCAAGACATTCAGAAGAACCTAGTCATAGTGCTTTGTGCTTTGTTATGGCTCTAAAAAAAAAAAAAAATCCTTAAATGATGCAACAGCAAGAAATTTAGGGAGAACTCTGCAACTTACAATCACATTAGACATTTCTGGCAGAAAGCGTTAATGTAGACAAGAGTTCCCAGCTTCTTCCTGAAAAGCAAACCTAATCATAAAAATCCATTTGAAGCTGTACACAAACTAGGGACAGCATTATGCTATACATCCTAGCTTCAGAAAGACTCCAGCAAGAGATTTATGGAATTTCTAAATAAAAGACCTGAGAAATCAAAGTCAGCAATGATATCAGAGTCTCATCGTTGTTTTAAGGAAGAAGGAAAGAGAAAGTTTTTTTTAAATTACTGCCTTGAGTCTAATGTATTCCCAATGAATGCACGCTGAAGGCTGGACGTGGAACTGGCGGTGGAATGAATTTTCTAGCTCTGTTCTTTGCAACATGCAAATGTTTGGAGATGAACTTCAGTCACTTTACAGGCAACTTGGGTCTGCTATAAAATTACAATTTGAGCCAACTTGAAGCTACAGTGGAAAAAGATTAAAGCCTGGATTTCAGCAGAAATTAGCAACCATGTGCTCAGCTGTATGCCACACATCAAGAAGTCCGACAGGACCTGGATTTTTTCTGCTCCTGTTGTAAACTTCTATTTGAAAACACAAAAAAAATCATCAAAATAAAAACGTCTTTCTGCACCTCACTGTAGCATAAGCTGCTTGAGGTTGTCATGGAGGATGGTATCCTTGACGTCACGGAAAACCAGCCGGATGTTTTCTGTGTTAATAGCAGTGGTGAAATGGTGGTATAGGGGCTTCTGCTGTTGGTCCCGGCGTTTGGTACGAAAACAATCCACCAGGAATTTTTGGACGTCTGTTAAGCAGTGGGGATCCCCTTCGAATTCTGGGAAATAGTCTTTGATGCTGACTTTTTGTACTTTCTCCTCAAGCAAGTCTGTCTTATTTAGGAAGAGGATGATGGAGACGTTGCTGAAAACCCGGTTGTTGACTATCGTTTCAAAAATGTTCAGAGATTCAGTAAGGCGATTTGTTAGCCGATCCTCCATGAGCACTTGGTCGAATTCGCTGGAAGAGACGAGGAAGAGTATTGATGTGACACTGTCGAAGCACTCAAACCAACGCTTCCGCTCAGACCTCTGGCCACCTACATCCACCATCTTGAAGGGAACATTTTTAATTTCAAAGTCATACTCATGAATCCCTTTAGTGGGTCTTCTTGCCAGCAGAATATCTTGCTGTGACGGAAGATAATCCTAAAAAAATAAAATAAAATAAAATAAAATAAAATAAGAAATAAAGCAAAGTTCACTGGTTAGGCTACATCTGCAGGCACAGCAGCTTCTGCAGACTTCTGATATAAAAGACTTCAAAATTCTCTCCTTCCTTCAGAGCCTTCATTAATTATTACTGCTTTTTAAAGTAACGTCTTATGCTCCAAGGTAGAAAACAATAAGCCCAGTACCAAGAATGAGACACTCTCTGTAGAGAACCGAAACTGTTCTTTAGTTGTATCAAGTATCCTTCTATAATGGAGAGTTATCTGTCACACCACCACTTCATTCATCTCCTCACTCTGGATTCTTTATGAAAAGCCACCCTTCTTCCCCTGCAAAGGGTACTAGATGCACAGAGCCTTCCTCCCTCACTTGGTGCAATACCCAACTTTAACAGCTAGCACTCAATCCTTCCCCTTCATATGCAAGTTCCTAAATTACTCAGATCAAACATAAGCAACAGAGCTAACACTTTCCAAAAAGTTGTTGAAAGATTGCAATCTTTATTTTAATCAGCTGAGGCCAGAGGAGTCGACTCCAAATAACATGCAAATGCCTATACAGCAACCTGTTGCCTCCCCTGCAGGTAAACATGAGAAAATTTCCAAGTTCCTCCTACATGAGAAGCCACATCCAGTTTAATGAAAACAGTGCAAGTAGGAGCTGGTTTTCCAAAGCATGAGAATTTCAAATGGCACACACCCAGATGGCCAACATCGTAGGGCTTAACGCCTAAAGAAGGTGAATCCATTTCTGGCATCTCTGTCTTACAGGAGTTGTTCTGCTCTTTGGGGCCTTTATTTATGATCAACCAGTTGGCTGATAATTGTATTTACTGATCTGTTTTGCAAGTGTATCTATATCCTCTGTTATACTTTGTACTGATGTATCAGACTCCACCATTCATTGCAGTTTTGAACCATGATTGTTTAAAACTTGGGCTCCATGTCCCTCTCTACTCAAACTATTGTTGCTCTTTTCTAGACTATCTCACACAAAGGAATGCTCAACCTGAGGCCTTTGGAAATCTTGTGAAGCACGGACAGGAATAAACATACGCTTACCTAAAGCAGAGCTTGGCAGTACTGTTCAGGTTTTGAAATACTAGAATATTGCCTCTGTCTTGCATTACACTTTATTAAAACGATACAAAAACTGAACAGTCAAAAAATCCCGTCTCACAAGGACTAGCTAGGCTTCAGGATGAATTATTTCAATGAATCTGACTAATAAGAGGTCAATATGACAGCAAAACTTTCTTGGGCAGACAGTTAGAGGCTTCAAGCCTTTGCCAAGTCAGTGCATCCTCTAGACCAGGGCTGTCCAACTGGCAGCTTGCGAGGGGTTAATGTGTGGGCCCCCAGGGTCTTACCTGGCCACTGCTCCCCCATCGCTCCAGTCTCTGTAGCCTGCCCGGTGCGACCCACGTGGGGTGCAGCCCCCATGGACTCAGCTGGACAGCCCTGCTTTAGACAGACACGCTATGCCCTCTTTTAAGAGACCCAAGTTTAACTCAAACAACAACAACAAAAAAAGTGTTACAAATCAACGGGTTAAATGTTCCCAAGATTTCAAGGAGCACTTTGTTCTGCTCCCTCCCCCTCCTCCCCGAATGAGAAGAAGTGAAACAACCAGTGAAGAGGGACTGTTTTGTCCAAACTCCTGTTTCTTTATTCAAGCTGGCTGCGATGAAGGCATTGATTTTATCACAAACACCCAGTCACAAAGGAGCTTTCTGTACCACGAGGCTCCCCTCCCTGCTTTTTCAAGATACTGATGCACGCTGCGAACAGCATCGCCCTGTTCTTCAGGTAGAAAAGCCGAATCCCTTAGACTCCACTGTAACCTTTTACATGCACACCCTGTGTAAAAAAAAGTTGGGTCTGTGCCTTCTACTCCACCCTGCTTCTTTCAGATGGAAAAAGGCTTCCTGGAAGGATGACTTGTTTGTCTGTTTGCTTTGCTCCGTTTGATTCCAGTCTACTAAAAAGACTAGGACAGTGGGAAAAAGGAGGGATCCCAGGGACTGAAAGCTAAGAGTACAAGAAAAGCTTTTTCACAGTCAGGCAAGCTGTCTATGCTGATTTTTAGCTGCAGGGCCTAAGGTACACGTACGGGAAAGGATGTCTGCACTGAAGATTCAAGGCCCGCCCCCACACCCTTTCTGTCGAACACATTCCTGAGACCAACTCCTTCTCACAAAGGTCCTCAGCAAACTAGGGAAGGGCAGACACTCCTGATATCTGAGGTAGCAAGAGACACTTGTTTAGAAAGCATTTTGGGCCTTTTCATGTATTAATATACACAACAGGACACAAAGCGCAAGGCTCAGACCGCCTCTGAGCTGCCAAGGTCCTTGTGCAAGAGCACAGCTATGAAGCCCCAAGTCCAGATCACCCTCCCAACTGGGCACTAACTTTTGGTATATTCCTTCTGCAACTTCAACAGAAATGAGTTTCACTTCCTCTCCTGAAGGCTGATTAGCATTACTAGCATATGAGCTACCATGCCTTTGGCCAGCCAGGATGCTTATGGGACAGTACACAGCCCATGAAGTGCAATGAACAGTCTTCTATAAACAGAGAAGACAAAATTTGGCTGACACACAGGAACTGAGACCAGTCTGGACTCTTCTCTAATGGATTTCCTAAAGCTTACATGCAGGAAGCAATTTCATCTCCATCCAATCCACGTGTCCCCTTGTCAGGCACGAATATACATTTTAGACATCTGCTCCTAACTTTTCTCCACTCAGGATCTGTCAGGTTGCCTCGTCTCTACCATCTTAGAAGGGAGCCAATCTCACTGCCAACATGGCAGCACTTACTGTTTTTCTCTCTAGCCAGTACACCTGAAATCACCGCCGGCAGCCATGAAGCCTGAACAGCTCCAACATTCAGCAGCAAGTCACTTCCTCTTGCCATTACTGTGTCACTCACTGATCCTTTGTTGCCTCCCCACCTACCTGAACGCATATATATCCCTGCCCTGTGCCCTCAATCCTGCCCCTTGAACTTTGCTCACTTTTCCTGCCTCTTTCTCCCTCTCCTCCTCCATGCGTTCCCTTTTGTTGCCCCCTTTGCCTATGAACCCTTTGCCCTTCCTGGAAGCAAAGTTGTCAAATGTCTCTTTAAAACTAATTGCTTTGGCTTTACTTTCCATCTCCATTCACACCTCAACTGTCTACTCTCCCAATCCACCTGCAGTCTCCTCTTAAAAAATATCAGAATGGCTTATTTGCCTGGGCAACTCATCTGCTTATTTTCAAATTCTATTTGTCCAATTAACTCACAACCCCTGCAAGCAGGGGTCATGTCTAACCATCCTGTGCGCTAGCAGTTAATATTCTAATTCATCAGCGTGAGAAATACTGTAAGTTAGAGACATTAACATTATTGCAATTCTGCTTTGAAATGAGCCCATCTGGTTCTGATTACATGCACAAAAAGATTATCCTTCCTCCACTGCGCTGTCAAGCCACCTGAACAGCAAGCAGGTTTTACATATGCTGGACGGACATCACACTTTCCTTTTATGTTATAGGTAACAGGATCACAATCAGGTCTAGTTATTACCCTAATTTCAAGGCTGCTTGCAGACAGTTTCTTGGTATAAAGATCCCTAACACAAAATGTGCTACAGTACAAAAATAACAAGTCTAACCCATCAACACTCCAACTGTCTGGATAGGAAAGAGTAAGGGGTCTACCAAGTTTCTCCCTTACAAAACTACCCA